GAAGAAACGCTAAAGAGAGTAGGAAGGAAACCTAATCTATCCCAAGAATGACCCAACATGCAAAGTGGTCACAGAATGCTGACCAGCTGTGGGAGTGGGGAGATGTGTCCTCATACATGATAGACTAGAATAATATGGAAAAGGGCAAGATCACACTGCAATATTTCGGTTGCATGTCCCATTTATAAAGAATATTGCCCAGCCAGAAAATGTCTGCTGCTTGTCTGAGTGCTTTTTCACGAACCTGACCCTGAACCCCCATACTCACCTACCCACCAATATATAAAAAGCATTTGTGCTTGCAGCATCTTTGAGTAGATTGACTGAAAAATCACCTCGAGTGTGAAATGACATCTAGATAGATGTTGAGATATCAGGACACAATGCTTTGCCTTGGCTACTCTGTAAGGTAGTTAATTTTCTCTATTTGTATGTGTTCTAATAGCACTGTGGCTGGCCTGGATTCCTCTCTCCATAAAGAAGAATGATAATAAAAACTTATCGATCACGGCATATCATCCCAACGAGTGAACAACAAATATACTGGTGAGGACACTCCTTGAATAACAGGAGCTGCTGTACTGCTTCTTAGGAAGACCAACCAGGGTTTTCATGTTTACTGCTGTCTCTATAATCCTGCACAATCTGGCACTCCAGCAGCAGGCAAGGGAGCCCAAGAGAGAAAAGCCCCCAGCCTGTTATCTCATGCCAGCTGCCTAACACCTGATACCTGTGCACAGGAATGGGAAGGGGGGAGGGGGGTTGCCAGCCAGCTGTGAACACCTGTCCCTGTCAGACGGTTGGATGGTCTCTCCAGCTGTTCACACAAGCCTTGCAGCTGTGCTGCTTAATTGGCGATTTGTTGAGAGGGCTGGGAACAAAACTCAACAAGATGAAGAGGGAGGGGGAAAAGAGAGAGAGAGAGAGACGGAGAATGCAGTGTGTTTGAATACATATTTGGTAGCCTTGAGGCTTCTAAAGGAGAGGAAGCACTTTGGGGATCAAATCATCTAACCACAACACTGGATGATGTGACAGGATTATAAATGCATAACTAAAAGCCCCATCTAGAGCAGATCCCAGGTGCAAAGCAGGCCTATTCACATATTCATACCCTGCAGATCAGCTGCTCAGTCCAGACCTATCAAATAAGCTGCAAGCAGAGAGCAGGTGTAGCATGTAGAGTGTTTAGGGAGCAACTAGCTTCAGTAGATGTGTGCCACATGCTCCCCGGGGGGGGGGGGGAGAGGCAAAGGGAGAAAAAAGAAAACCCTCCCATCCCTCCACCTTTTCTGACCTGAGGGTACTTGTTACTTGACTCCAAATGTAGAAGCTAAACTCTGACAGTCAACGCCAACCAGAAAGTCTTCCTAATTTTTAGTCTCCAAGCTAAGGCCATCTTTCTTAAGGTAAAGAAAAGACCAACTCCCCCCCACCCCCCAAAAATCCATTATTTTCCTGCCATTCATTTCCTGGTCCTGATCTCTGGTCACTTTTGTTAATTCACCATCCAGACACCCTCAGCCATGCATTGCTGAGTATCTACACCAAGTATGCAAGCTATTCAAGAGCATAAGCTTACTATACTGTATGGTCAAATGTTGAGGAAAGGCACTTTCATAAGCCATACACACATGGAAGGCTGTCTTTCTGCTGTAACATTTGCCTTGCTTCTGAGGTAGAAGGGAGTTTGTCATTCGCTAAGAATGTTGCTATGCAAATGCCTAAGGTGTTCAGAAGGATAAGTAGATTTTTCACACCAGCATATAAAAAGGATGAAAGAAAGAGCAATGAAAGACAGGATTAAGAGATAAATTATTTTGCAACCAAATTCCTTCCTTCCTCTATGACATCACTTAGTCATTCCTGCAACTGGAGGTCTAAAGCTATAGCTTATGCAACGCCCAGAAGAGAACATAGTTTCTTTAAATGACTGTAGTAGAGGATTACTTTACCTGATGGCAACTGGTAATCTCATGACTGTATGTATACTCATCTCCCTTACTGTAAAGTAGATAGTGGGGAGAGAGTTGTGATTATTTCCCTCAGAAATTCAAGGAAATTGTTTTTGTACAAAGAACTTGCCTTTTGTTCAAGGTTTTGCACAAAACCTTTCAATTTGTGCAAAATACAAAGTTTTTTGTGCTAACTCCCCCCCCCTTTATTTAATGCTGCTCCTTAGAAAGAAAAGTTTTAGTCTTTTCAGTCCTGCGCGAGAGTGAACAAGCTTGTCACAATTATATTATTTCAACAGGACATCTTGTTGTGTTAAGGTATTATTTTTTTTAACAAAGAATGGGCAAACTGGCAAGTGTTAATTAAATTCTTAATCAAGATACAGCGTACAGCAACTTCCCAACAAGGAAGTTGATCAGACTGGCATATAGTTCATTATCTGGTTTGCTTTTCATGTAGTTTGGTTCGCCCTACTTTCTGGCGAGCGCATGTGTTTTTAATAAGAGCCACCCATTCTGCCCCCTTTAATAGCTGTCCTGCTCCTTTCTGGCACAGTGCTTCAGGTTAAAGTTTATTTAGTGTGGTTGAGATTGCTCCTTATTATCCCGTTCTATAGCCTGTGCGGTTAGTTAATTCACTCCCAAATCGAGTTATGGGTTGTGCTAACTGAGGTAACAACTCTATGACATATTCAGTGGGTTGTGACATTAAAAGGGAGGATGGAGAAAAACCCTCCTCTATTTTTATCTTCCTTTAAAAATATTTCCCTAACTGGCACAGCTAAATTGTAATGTAGGTGTTTTTCATTACAATACTTATACCATGCTAGTTTGATGCATTTCTGTAGCACTATGTCACTTACATTAATTAACAAAGAAGGGGGAAGTTGATGTGGCTGTGAAAAAAAGGTGGGGGAGGGCAGTCAATAACCAAAAGGGGAACAAATTGTAGCAAATCGAAGAGATGTCTGGATCCTTCTCATGGGAGAAGAAATGTATCCCATGTGAATGGAAGAATCACTCAGGTCTGATATAAAATAAATTGTACTGAAGATAAGAACCTTTAAAGTGTGAACCAGATTGTTCCAACTTCATCCATCTGGTCTTGCCCTGAGATAAATCAAATTCTGTTTTCTTGGGGCCAAATTATATGACCAACTCATCATTAAAAAGCAGTTTTCTTAAAAGGAAAATACTATTCATTTATTCTACCACAAGGTTATCTCAATCTGCATTTAGCAAATTAGCCGGCTTTGGTTTTGTAACTGGTGTCAGCTTCACTTACATGTAGGACATTTCAGGCATATATTTATGAAATATCTGCATGCCTGGAAGGATAATGTTATCAGAGAAGGAAATATGCATTAGCCTACACAGACTCTTAAATCTCACATGCAACTATTTTCAATGCCTCCTCAAAAAAGAGGTCTCAAATGACCTAACTATACACTGTTCTCCTGCTGGGCTATATATAGTTAGCTCATCCCATCAACCAGCATTCTAACCATTTCCTTTATCCATCCTATCCATTATAACACAGATAGAATCCACCTATGCACGCAGTTTGGTTCTTTAATTAAGTTCTGTATCCTGACTTTTGGTCTCAAAAACAGAAAGTTTTTTTTGTCAGTCAAAATAGCAGCCCCATTCTATCTCAGAATCAACTGAGAGCAAATGAACCTGGGACAAGAATTCCCTTGGCAAAACATGCCACAGGGTTATCTTTCATGATGAAGGAGGGCCTATACATAATTTAAATATGTGTGAAATTATTTCCATGAAGTCTCTATAAAAACATGGAGAATTCTGCATTTGATGTATGTGATCTATCACCCTGTGCCATTAGACTGGAAAACTAGTGGCGTCTGTGCAAGGTTTGCATAAGCTGCCATAGCTAATTGTGGCTAACTGACAAGGTCCTGGGATGCATCTTGGTTGCACAATCAGGTGCATGACTACCCTCTTTCCCCGAAAATAAGACCTAACCTGAAAATAAGCCCTAGTATGATTTTTCAGGATGCTCATAATATAAGCCCTACTCCCCAAATAAACCCCAGTTAAGTGAAACCCAGCCCTCCACCATTGTGCAGCAGCCAGAATAAGATGACATGACTGTATTTGAATAAATGTAGATTCTTGTACATGGAAAAAATAAAACATCCCTTGAAAATAAGCCCTAATGCATTTTTGGAGCAAAAATTAATATAAGACCCTGTCTTATTTTCGGGGGAACATGGTAGGTATACCACAAAAATGCATCCTGACACCTCACCCGTTAGCTACAATTCGTCATGGAAAGCTATGCAAAGATTCTGGCCTTCAGAACACAGTACTCCCTTCCGTTTTCTTCAGTTTTTGGCTCTGCTGGACCCTTATTTGGACCATCAGTACTGACCACTTGAGTTAACCCCCAGTAACTAGATCAGCCCCTTATCTTCAGACCAGAGTGTACCACAGTTTGCCACACAAATGCAGTGTTACAGATCTAGCCCCTATTTTAACAAGTCCTTATTTTAATTATTACCATTCCACCAACAAACTACTACATCTTCACGTTAGTTTTCTTATTCTATGTCTAGGCACTTCTCTGATCTTGCACGGAAAAATGTGCCCTGCGCCCATCTTAAGCAACTATATCATTGGCTTCCTTGTTTGGTCAGCTTCCCTGAAATACTCTGTCGAAGTGTCTGGCACCTACGTAGTTAGGGAGCTCCCCAAGTCTTTAAAACCTTAACACAGCTGCTACTTGTCCAAGCTTGGGAGAGACTAGCCACAAACAAAGCTCTGGGAATCAGGAACAGAAAGCCTACGTAGCTCAGGGGAAAAATATCACAAGAAACCTGATTTTCTCTACTGCCTCCCACTCCCCAAATCCTCCCAAAATGTTATGTAGAATGTCACCACAGTGGAGAAATTAAATTTACAAGAGGTCAACTACTTCTGAATGGGGATGGTATATAACACGCAGAGATCAGGCCAGTCTTCATGCATTTGTTTTCCCTCTCCTTGTATGCCAGCCAGTGAGACAAAGATGGTGCCTCCTACCTGCATCCACATCATTGGGCCACCCACTGGAGTGGCTGCTGCCAGCTGCTGGGGACCGTCCTGTCCCAGGGTAGAACACATCGTCTACAGGGCTCTCCATCTCGCTGTCATCTATTGACTTGGGCCGCTTGGTGGAGCTGCAATCAGAACAGACCACAGAAAGGAAGAGGATAAGCAACCATGAAAGATGGGCCAGATGAAGAAGAGAGGAAGAGGATAAGCAACCGTGAACCATGAAAGATGGGCCAGATGAAGAAGACCATCTTCCTCCAGGGCTTGAGGCCTTCTCCTTTAAAGAGCAACAGTCCAAAACAAGATCCAAGAAGACTGCCAACTCTTTTCTTCCATGATGATGTGCATGGTACAGGTTTATAATGTCCTGGGACAAAAAGGCAACATTGTACTAGCACAGGTAACAAAACTTTCTTTCACTTCCTTCCCATCTGCAGACTTTGATGCTGCCTGGAAACCATCTTCAGAAGTTTTCCCAGCCTTATGGGGTTGGTTTTAGGGACACATGGGGGAATTGCAGTAAAGAGTGATACCCTGTCACCATCTTCCAATTCTGCCAGGTTCTGCCTACAGAAATCCACTGTTTTAGCCTGTCCTAAGTTTGCATTAGCATAGATTGTTCCCACTACTTTCCCAATGCCTTCACATCTGGAGCTGGGTGATGACACTGCCAAAAGAAGGACAGGAGATTTCTCTACTACCCGTCAGATTAGGTAGATGTACCTGCTAGAAGGTGGAGATGTTATTGATCGTCTGCCAAGAGCCACTTGATTGATATTGTAGTAACTGGGACTCTCCAGGTCAGCCAGGGAGAAATTTGGACCAGACGCTGTTGCGACAGGAGCTGAAAATGAGAAACAATAGCTCTGAGACTTTAGGATGGGCATTGAGAAGGGAACCAAGGGTCATAGTGGCCTCTTAACTGAATAACTGGCAGCTCCATGAATGCAGGTAGCAGAGGAAAAAGAATAGCTGGTTGATGTAGGCAAGGCTGGTTATAGACAGTGCTGTTTATGGGATGAGGAATATGATGCTCTCCAAAAACTGGAGGACTGCAACTCCTTTCAACCTTCTCCATTGGCCAGACTAGCTAAGACTGATGGCAGCTGCAATTTAACATTTGAAAAGTGAGACGTTCCCCATCCAAAACCATAAGTGATGTGTACATTCCCACCATGTGCTCTGCAAACTCAGGAAGAGGTCATCATATTCAGAACCCATGATAATACTCAAACTCTCAATGCTATTATTTTAGGATTTAGTTTTTCACACCCAGAGGGTGTCAAAATACATTCCTGATTCCGATTTAAAATCTCTGATTTTCAAAGAGACCTGCTCCCTGGGAGCTAGAGCAACATGAAAGGGTGTAGCTTACGCAATTAGCTAATTTGTGGAGGAGCAAAACAGTAAATATAGCAAGAAAGATTCCTGGAGGCATATGCAAAACCACCTCATAGAAATATAGCAAGAGGGAAGGAAGGGAGGGAGGAAGACAGACAGACAGACACATGAGATAGACAACTCCAATGCTGTCCTTTGCATGCCATTCCATTCTATACTCTTTCCTCCGTATTAAGAACATCTCTTAGTAGCCTGTAACATTATATGTATTTCATTCTTCTGAAAGAAAATACGGGGAAGACAGTAGCTCCGGATGTAAGGACATGGCTGTCACATGTGCACTACTTCTCAAATTTGTTTGTTTGTTTGTTTTTACCCTGCCAGCTGTCACATGTGCACTACTTCTCACATTTGTTTGTTTGTTTGTTTGTTTTTACCCTGCCTTTTTCCTTAAAAGAACCCAAGGCGGCCTACATCATTAAAAGACAATATAAATTGTAACAAGAGTGTGTATACAAATACTTTAAAAGAATTTAAAATGGTAAATAACATCAATACAAAAACACATTTAAAAGCAACAGAGCACAACAACCTGTTTTAAAACCCCCCAGACATCCATTCACTCAGAAAAAACTTGCTTAAAGAGAAAGGTCTTTGCCTGATTGTGGGATACCCTCAGACATCCATTCACTCAGAAAAAGCTTGCTTGAAGAGAAAGGTCTTTGCCTGATTGTGGGATGACAGCAAAGTTGGAGCCAGTCTGGCTTCCAGTGGGAGAGAGTTCCAATGTCTGGGAGCAGCAACAGAGAATGAGGCCCTCTCCTGTGTCCCCACTAACAATGCCTGTGAGGGTGGTGGGACCAAGAGAAAGTCTCCCACCCTGAAGGTCAATGCCTGAGCAGCTTCTTAATGCTCTTCTGCCCCTTTTGTTTTTTACCCCTTCCAGCCACTTCTTTCTTACATTCTGGAGCCATATGCTCCTCCTCTTCCTTACTACTCTTTCTCTGGTTACCTTTTTGGTGTCTTGGCTGCCCTAGGTGGTTTGACCCAACAATACCTCATGTCCTTAGCTATCACCTTTCATTCTGCCTCTTCTGAAAGTCCCTTACCTGTCTTCTTTCTCCACTCTGACTTCCAAGGTCCCAAGGAGTCTAATCCAAGTTGCTAGAGTTAGGCTTGCTTAAACTCAATGTGGAGTATGGTGTGCTTAAGCATAGTTACCTCTGTGCTAGTTATGTTATCTATGCAGCTTCCAGGATTCAGGCAGTGACTGAGACAAAGCACAGATAAACATGAGCATGGATGTTATTACTTAAAACAACTTAGAACAAGAACAACTGACGGAATCATTAAGTGTTTATACTAATTCTGACAACATCCAGGGTCAACAAATACAAGTGGATTCAAAAGCCTTGGAGTTCCATGAACTCTAACTGCGTAACACTAACTGAGGCATCCCAGATTCCTATGATTCTTCCACCTGTTAACAATACCATTACTAGCAACCATGATTCTGTGGTAGAACTCCCTAGTTTGGCTACAGTATATGTTGTGTGAAGAAGTGTTTCCTTTTATCAGTCTTAAATCTCCCACCATCAAGCTTCATGGGATGATGTTTTTTCCAAAATTCTGTTGCGTCTCTCCTAACTTGCCTTTTTTTTTTCCTAAGGAAAGAAATCCAAACATTGACCAAAATCTTGACTTGAGGCCATGACTTAATACAGTAAATCACACACCTGGAGTATTGCATACAGTTCTGTTCGCCACACCTCAAAAAAGACATAGTGGAACTGGAAAAGGTGCAGAAGAGAGTGACTAAAATGATGACTGGGCTGGGGCAACTCCCTTATGAGGAAAGGCTGCAGTGTTTGGGGCTTTAGAGAAAAGGCGCCTGAGGGGGGACATGATTGAGACATATCAAATTATGAAGGGGAGGGATAAAGTGGATAGAGGGAAGCACTTTTCCCTCTCATACAATATCAGAACCAGGGGACATCCATTCAAATTGAGTGTTGGGAGAGTGAGAACATACAAAATAAAACATTTCTTGACCCAGCATGTTGTTAATCCATGGAACTCCTAGTCGCAGGATGTGGTGACAGGATCTGGCCTAGATGCCTTTAAAAGGGGATTGGACAGATTTCTGGAGGAAAAGTCCATTGCAGGTTACAAGCCATAATGACGATGTACAATCTCCAGGCTTAGAAGGAGGGTACCTCCAAATGCCAGATTTAAGGGAAGGGTACCAGGAGACAGATATTTAGTTGTCTCTTCTGCTCTCAGAGGCATCTGGTGGGATCACCGTGAGATACCAGGAAGCTGAACTAGATGGGCCCTTGGCCTGATCCAGCAGGGCTCTTCTTATGTTCTTATGTACTTTGTTGTTGTTGTTTAGTTCTTAAGTCATGTCCAACTCTTCATGACCCAATGGACCAGAGCACACAAGGCCCTCCTGTCTTCCACTGCCTCCCAGAGTTGGGTCAAATTCATGTTGGTTGCTTCGATGACACTGTCCAACCATCTCATCCTCTGTTGTCCCCTTCTCCTCTTGCCTTCACACTTTCCCAATATCAGGGTCTTTTCCAGGGAGTCTTCTCTTCTCATGAGATGGCCAAAGTATTGGAGCCTCAGCTTCAGGATCCGTCCTTCCAGTGAGCACTCCTTCAGAATGGATAGGTTTGTTCTCCTTACAGTCTAGGGGACTCTTAAGAGTCACCTTCAGCACCATAATTCAAAAGCATTAATTCTTCAGTGGTCAGCCTTCTTTATGGTCCAGCTCTCACTTCCATACACTGCTACTGGAAAAACCATAGTTTTGACTATGCGGACCTTTGTCGGCAAGGTGATGTCTCTGCTTTTTAAGATGCTGTCTATGTTTGTCATCACTTTCCTCTCAAGAAGCAGGCATCTTTTAATTTCGTGGGTGCTGTCACCATGGGGCCCAAGAAAGTAAAATCTGTCACTGCCTCCATATCTTCCCCTTCTGTTTGCCAGGAGGTGATGGGACCAGTGGCCACGATCTTAAGTTTTTGTACTCTTATGTACTAGAGTAGGTCAACTGAATCAATGGGGATATCATATGTCAACTCCTCCACAAGGTCCATTGATTCAAATGGGCCGACTCTAACTGTGACTTACTGTAGCACAGGAGTCAGAGAGCAGTTAATTCACTAAATCCCTACTGATTCAATGGACCTGCTTTAATGCAATTTACTACAACAGGATTTTGGTCATTGTAATCCTTCCTTATGATACTCCAAGGATGGCTGCACCACAGATTTGCACATTTGAATGGTTTATGCTTACTTATTTATATGCATGGCACAGGAAACTGAAAATGCTGCCCTTATCATAATACAGTATAATAATAAAGTAGACTGATATCAACTGCCTTGCTCTTTTTAATGGTAAGACTAGCCTTATCTGTTTGGACCAGCTGCTATCAATGTGAGAACTGACATGCAGTTCTTGTCCATATGTCATACACCAGATAAACTAATTCGGCATACCTTAAACTCATAAGTACTCTTGCAGAAATTACACCTAGTATCCAGGTTGGCCTCACAGAACAAGAAACAAGAAAACAGAGAAAGAGTTCTTCGAAATGTATTTTCAACAATATGAACTCTTCCAGGAATGGAATCCTAGATAGGGAAGAGTGCCCCATTTTGTACACCATATTCACTGCAGAGTTGTGATGTTGCCAGTCTTTGTATGTACAGGTGTCACCCATGTAAATACATTAAGTGATTTGCAGGAAACAGTCAGGAATATTGCCTGGAGCAATAAAAATGCAAAATGCAAGGACAGATGGTTTTGCATTCAGACTTCCTTACAAGGCATGTGTATGTGGGAAACAAACATCTCAGTTATTTCTCAGCTCTGGGTTACTGGTTCCTGTTCCATGAGAACCAGCTTCCAGGGATGAGTGTTAGCAGTAAGTTATTCAAAAGACAGCACAGCCAGAGACATGTATATCACTATCATGCGGCACTTAGTAAGCTTAAAATATGAGAGAAAGTCTGCACGCCATGCACCCTGATCACCTGAAGAATACCACAGCAGTGCTGGAGTTTCATTGCCTTAACTTACTCTGTGACACTCTCACTAGCTCGGTAACATTCCAGACGCCTGATGTCACAAAACAGTCCTGGAAAGTCAAATGCCCTGAAAGAGGAAGAAGAGACACACAGGCTGTGTCACAAGGATGTAGTGAAATAATTGAAATAGAGACAGAAAGCAGGAACTAAGGATTACATAATACATTGTCTGCCAAAGTGGGGCTGAAAAGAAAGGGACTCTAACATTTTTGTCTATTCAGAGCTTGGAGAAGTTACCTTTTCTGACAGGAACTCCAAGAATCTCTCAGCCAGTGTGGTCAGTGGCTTTTCCAACCTTTGTTTCCAGCCCTCCTCCAGCTCTGAATAATTCCATCTCTTTGTCCATCTTAACGTCATCAAAGGCCTTGGCTCTATGTCAGGACTGGCTATATGTCAGGACCTCATGTACATATCTTAACCCAGAAGTGGACAATATGCAGCCCATTGGCTGAATGCAGCCCAAGAAGGGTATTTGTGGATATGCTAGCATCACTGGGACCCTAGTTGCCCAATTCCCCGTTTTAAAAAAGTGTGGAAACATTTTTTATTATTTGTCCCTTAAAGTCCTTATATGCCATCTAGGATACATTGGGGTAGGGAAGAGTTTGCCCTATTTTGAGGATTTTGCAGCACCTCAGGCCCTCTATAGCCCCAATTAATTTTTTATTTTTTGAAATGGCCACTAGAGGGTACAAGGAAGCTTTTTTAATTTTAAAACATTAGAAATTAAACACATTGTTTTGATTAACAAAGTCCCATTGTAGTATCTTATACAGCACATAGCTGCTGCATTTAAAAAATAAATAAATTACATTCTTTGGCCTTACTCCTGTGCCTTTAAGCCCTGGGCTGCCACCAAATCTAAAAAATTCAACTGCCTGCTGATACTCTCTCTCCCCCCACCATCTTAATCCTCCCTCATCACTGCCACATTTATTTCTCACAAATTATAGGAGTAATTACAACTATGTACGTGGACCTCTCCCAAACAGCCAGCACTTACTCCAACCTCTGTGCAGAAACAGGCACAACAGTTGAAAGGAGAAAGTAAAGGCCTTTGGGGAAGACTAACTAGGGGTAACAATATAGGGAATTAACCCCCTTCAAGAAGTATTTCACTCACCATTGGGCAGTGGTTTGATGTCCGCATCTCCTTGCTGGTTTGAATTATCTGATTGTCCGGATTCTGAAACACAGAAGCAAAGACGAACATCAATAATTTGTTGGAAAGCATACGACATGTTTATGAAACATGGATCTGAAAAGTCAGGAAGGACGCCACCACCATCATACAAATGCAGTTTATGGCACAGCTTACTCAGAGAAACGAGATATTGGTGCTTGAGCGTGAACATTCAAAAGACAACACTCCCCTATCTCTACATGATCATGGTGCTGTAAAATAATAATAATAGTAAGCTAACCAATTGGTATTTCATGCTCCTTTTGTATCCAGCTCTAGTGTAAGGGCAGAATCATCTACGTAGCAATTCCCCACAGAAGCGCCTGCACAGTCACAGAGAGGGAAGACCACAGAAGAGCAGCCTTCTGAATATAAAGGGCTCTATGATTCAAGCAAAATTACCCGGGCACCCAACAGAAGGGAAACCTTATCAAGTAAAGGATATCAATCTGGAACTCAGAAGGTTACTTTTAAATGGGAGTGCTGAAAGCCACTGACTTGTGGCATATACTGATCTACTTCCACATCAAAATACAACACAGCAGCTTGAAACCCAGCATGAGCCAACTCTTGAATCATGTGATATTCCTCCACCCACTGTTTAGTGAGGATCTCCCTATAACTATAAAGATAACTAAGAAGTTATTATACTTGTGCCTTCTTAAGAAGTTCAGCAATTCTTTGTTAAATTACAATTGTAAAGTAATGTAGTTATTCTCTTCATAATTGGAAAGATGAATTAAATACAACTAACTTGTTATTACAAATTAGTTTCTATCAAGCTATCTAGTCTATTTGGCAAAGAATTATTTCTTGATTCTACATATGATAAACAAATAATCTACCGGAACTTTTAGCAGTCATAACTCATTGCTATCCAATGTATTGGAAAAGGGAGACAAACTCCTATAATCTCTGCTCACAAAAACACTGGGATACAACTGCACATATCTCTTCTATTCAGCTATTTTGGAAACAAGTGGGCACAGGCAGAAAAAGACGCTGTTCAGATAACACATTCTGGTTTATGTTACCATTGGATGCAGCACACGTTGTGTGTTCTCCTTCCAATGTGTGGCCGTAAGAAACAGTGTGAAAGCTTAATCACAGTTTAAAGTTCAGATGACACACTAGATGAGTGGTTCCCAAACATGGGTTACCCAGATGTTTTTGGACCACAACTCCCAGAAACACTGGCCAGCACAGCTGGTGGTGAAGGCTCCTGGGAGTTGCAGTCCAAAGCTGTCCACTATACTACCATGTTTCTCTAAAAATAAGACCTAACCTGAAAATAAACCTTAGTATGATTTTTCAGAATGCTCATAACATAAGCCCTAATCCAAAAATAAGCCCCAGTTAAGTGAAACCCCGCTATCCACCACTGTGCAGCAACCAGAAGATGACATGACTGTATTTGAATAAATGTAGATTGTTGTACATGAAAAAAATAAAATGTCCCCTAAAAATAAGCTCTAGTACATTTTGCAGGAAAAATTAATATAAGACCCTGTCTTATTTTTGGGGAAACGCAGAAGATGATGGCTAATGTAAAAAATGAATCTGAGACTTCCAACCGACTCATAACTGTGAGGAAAAAGAGAAGTAAGGGGCAATGTGGGAGCCCAAGACCTGCTATGGTTCATTTCTGTGATCTTAAAACATGGTTTAACATGTATATGTTAGGAAGATCCATGGATCCACCAAGTATGCTATCTCTCTGCCGAATGGATTAGTGATGTGATGGAAGAATTGCCACACTCATAGAACCATCAGATGCATATCCCTTTCTTTTCATTCACACGGGAAAAAACGACAGTCAAGAGGAACTACAAATCTATAGTCTCTCTAGTCACATTTTTCTGCAAATGGTTCTTCCCTGTGCATTGTTTACGTGTAGCAATATTTCCCAATCCATTTAGAAACATATGCATGCAGGAAGTGAAATCACCTTCTTTGCCAATTAAATTTGCATAACTCAAAATAGTTTTGTGACCAACTAGTATCATTAGATTATGAAAATTCCACAGTGATTTCTATCTGGTGAAACTTTGGCCTGAAACGTTCAAGTGTCCATGACATAACTTTGCTTAGAGTTACTGAAACTGATTTAATTTCTATGACTCCTAATCATATAGACTGTGCTCCTCATATGCTCTACATTTTTTAATTAAAAAACCTAATTTGATGTCACTCAATTCTTTCTCTACAGGAAACATGTATGCATATACACTTGTATGTTTGTATCTATGCTGTGTCTGCTGAGACCTGGATTATTTTGACTGATTTTTGGGGAAATAATAGTTTGCTTTCTACAGACAAATGCAGAGTCAGGGAATTGTGGGCCAAGACTGCAATTCTCTAACATATGAATATGACACTATTTGAAAAGAACAATGATGATCTGACTATTAGTTTTGAAGCCAAATTATATATAGTAATGTGAGGGAACTAGGTGGTGTGTTTAGGCTAGACTAATTGAAAATGAAGTCAAAGAAGCATTTCACACATTGGATAGCAACAAATCAAGATCCACTACAGTGGGGTCTTGACTTGAGAATTTAATCCATATTGGAAGGCGGTTCTCAAGTCAAAAAGTTTGCAGGTCAAATCTGCATTTCCCATAGGAACGCATTGAAAACCATTTGATCCGTATCTGCTCTTTTCCGTCCATAGAAACTAATGGGAAGCTGCTATTCTGCCTTCGACCAATAGAGGGGGATATTTTGTTTCTTTTTTTCTTAGGTCAAGAAAGGTGCAGGGAAAATACAGTCCAGGCAGTACAGGACCAGGCAGTCTGAAGACTGTCTCCCAATCCACTCTCTAAACGCTGGGAGGAGTGAGGAAGCAGACAGGCACCCTTTTCACTGGCCAACAGTTAACTGAAAGTTCACATTTTGCACTTTCCCTGCCTCCCACGTGGGTTTTTTTCAGTTCGTAACTCAAATCTAAGCATGTAAGTCAAGTCAATATTTTCCTATGAGAGTGGTTCTTAAGTCAAAATGTTCTTAATTCGAGCCGTTCTTAAGTCAAGACCCCACTGTATTGTGTGCACCCAACATGAACTGCAGCCAATGTTGGTAATTGATGAGTGAACTTACGCAGTGTTCAGTAGCATATTTCAAAAATAGTAGATATTGATACAGTTTTAAAAAAATCAGTACCAGCCATGTCCCTTCTGCCCCAATGCTCTATTCCTAGTTGCAGTCTCCTATCCCAGAACTGCTGTCAGCTGCAGGTCGGGGGGACATGAAGGGACCATGCCAATCCTAATCCAGTCTGGTACAGTTTATGGCTGCTTTTAATTCTTTTTTAAAACACAGGGCTGAGTGGCCTCTATTTTCCTCATAGCTGACCATTTAAAACACAGAATGTACCTTAAATAGCAGGTGAATTATGCTAACATTTCTCAATTCTGTTTTTTTTAATACTGAGAGCTGCCTTGAGTCTCCTTATCAGGAGAAAGGCGGCCTATAAAGAAAACAAAAGAGAAGAAAAGAAAAGATTAAATAAATAAATAAATAAATAAATATTTCAGATACTTAAAAATTATCATAAAGAAGAAGGAGGAACTGTAGGATTAAAAAGTGAATGGTTAACAGATAGCAATCCTGTACAGTACTCTCTACATACAGTATTTTGGTCTATACCTTTCTTAAGGGATTAAAGGATTTGAAGTCCAAAATATCTGCAGAGCAATCAGAACTACAAAACAAGACTGAGAGACTAAATTTGCAATAGAATTCCCACTTACACAGGAGTTAACCTCGCTGAACTCAGGGCACAGTTACACTGTTGAAATAATTTAGGAACTGGATCATAGGCTATGCATTTCCAGAGTGAAATGTCTGCACCAAAAAACCCCTAAAATAACCCCCTGCATTGCCTTAGCTATGTGGAGACACTCTGGTTGCTGGCACATCGTCCTGGAACTGCTTTTGAAGTTTTTGTCCTGTGCCTGCCCATCCTTGCACTAGCCAACTCTCACTTTCACTTACTTCCTCTCACAGCCACTGCCACTGCAACCCCACTTCCTCTATTGTGGTGATATGAGCAGCATGAGCAAAAGCCATTTTCTTCTGCTGTGGTGTGATTTTGAATATATATACATATATTTTCTTCATACTGGGATAGTGTTAGATCAGTGTTACAGAGGGGAAAAAATATAACAGATCAAATTGGAAGCCCAAAACCCATGATCCCAGCATCCAACCCAATACTTGACAATTTCCACAGATATGATTTACTCCTACACAGGCTAGCACACAAGCAAAAATGATTCAAAATAAATAACATTCATACTATTAAAATAAAATAAAAAGGCTCCTAGCGGATGTTTAAAAAACCTTCCTTTCCGAACAAAAAAACACGCTTCTCGGCAAAAAAAAACCATGTGCTTAATTGTATGTTGTGTAAACTGATATTTTAAAATTGATTTCAAGCATGCTAAACCTGACAAAAACCCAGGAGAATTCCTATGTGTAACTGCATGCTTCAGTGAGGCTTACTTCTGAGTAGCTTTGTATAGGATTATGGTGTGAATGTTACAAACAACAAATAAAATTCCAGCAGTAATTTGGTAAAGGAATATGATACTTAAACCTCAATAATGTAGAAACAGAAGAGGAGAATCCAATTTAATGAGCAAAAAGTTCAGCAATAATAATCTTCACTTTCCCCCTCATAGTTTGTTCCCTAAAGTGATCACCGCAGTACCCAACCAGGATCTGGGAAAAATTATGTGAGGAATTAAAGGAAAAGAGTTCAACAACCAGACCTATACACACATTTTGTTCTCGTAATTGCTCCCCTACCTTCCACTAAGTATTACTGCTAAATACAAATGCATTGTAAAATTCTATAATTCTCTTACAGTATATGGATATGGACCTAGAAAAGAAAAGGTAGCATAGAGAGAGTGGAAATGCTGAAATGGACACTATAGTCAAGGTCTCCTGATGCTAAGTTCAATGCCAATGTTCCCTCTAAGCTGTGTGTGCATGTGC